CAATCGTGGGCTCTTTGCGTTTGGAATTTTATACTTTGCCGATTAAAAAAATGGGGCATTCCACCAACTCTTATAGAGGGCACGCGATGTCGATGATTGGCGCATGGTCTATGACTTTCACCGAACATTGGACACGCTCACCGTCCGAAACTCCGTTTGGTCGTTGCTGGAAGGACGATGATGACAATGATGACGACGATGATGGTGATGATTTCGGCGACCCTTGGCTAGAATTTGAACTCACGATCTTTCAAATGTGTGGGTCAGTCGCTCCCGACTGCAGAGAGAGAGAGAGAGTTACCCGGTCAGATTCTGGTTTTGAAAATATTTTTGTAGAAATGTGGGTTTGGTGGGGGGTACAAAGTTAATATGTCCACCACCGCCGCTACCACCACCACCACCGCCGCCGCCATCACCGCCGCCACCACCGCCACCACCACCGCCGCCACCAACGCCACCACCACCGCCACCATCACCACCATCACCACCGCCACCACCACCATCATAGAAAAGGCTACGGTTTTGTCGTGGCTTTTATTTTTTAAAATAAAATTTACGGCCGAGGTCCGGTGAAAAAAACGAAAACATAATTTCACCAAATAAGTTGGGGCGGTTCCGCACCAAATTTTTTGCCTTTTTTGTTGTTAAATAAGAAAACAAGTTTCATTTCAAATAAAAACAATACATTGATAAACATTGCCATTTCAAGCGTTATAAGACAAAACGTTATTATAGCGTCGTTTTGTTTGTTTTCTTGCGTTTGTTTTGGCATTCCGGATCTATCGGAGGATAGAATGGAAATCCGGGAGGTGCCAGGTTGGCATCGGAGGAACGGGCAACCCCAATCTCTGCCACCCCCCCTCCAAAAAAAACACTAAATCCACCGTCATTTCCAAAACTTTCCCGATTCATTCAAATCCACGATTCCGCGTGCCCGCCGCAACTTTCGTGACAAAATTCGCAGCCCTCGCTGTGCCCTCCCCCGTCCGCATCCCCGAACGAACCCCGCCGCGCCCCCACCCCCCCACAGCGACACCGCCACCCGCGGCCTCACCAGCGACTCACAGCGACAACATCGCAAACAGTGAGAGACGTTTAAACGATCGCGGTAGAACACCATTTTCACGACGCTATATCAGTGTACGCACCCTCGGTATTTTTTCGTTATTATTATTAATCGCAACAATAATATTATATTTATTTCGCCGCTCGGTACGAATAAAGTGCCCTTGTTTTGTTGTACCATCTGCGAAATATTTATAAATGCAAAATATCCTCCTTTTTGCGCGGCCCCCCCATACCCGATGCTCGTGGTAACCACCCCCCCCCCCCCCCCCCCCACTAAGCCGTAGGACGGGGAGATTCCACCAAATGCCATCGATTCCCCCACCCACCACCATCACCACCATCAACAGCCGCGTGCGTTGCGGGAAATCCGTGGGGGGACTCTTCGCTGACCGCGCGAGCAACCTCCGTCGAACATAGCTGTCTTCGTCGCCATGTTATCGTTGCAGTCGTCGTCATCGCCATCGTCATAATAATTATTCATTGTCGTCGTCGTCATCATCATTTCCATCGTCATAATTAGTCATCGTCGTCGTCAGCGCAGTTGCGAGGAGCGTTCGCCCTTTTATTGACGGAAGGGCGAGGTTAAACAGCGCGTGCAGTCACAGACAGAGCGAGCGAGCGAGAGAGATGGAGAGAGACGGAGGTGAGAGATGAACACGCAGATCGCGAGTAGAATCGCCCCAAGCCGCGCGAAACGCACACAGACACGCAACTGCGTTCGTGTCATCACGCGGTGGGGGTGGCTGGATTTCTCGTGGGAATACTTTCAGGAGCTCGGCTCCAGGATGGGCCAGGGCACGAGGTCGCTCTTGGCCTCAAACGAAGCCCCCAGCCGGTGAAAAGGAAGCCCAGGAGATGGGCGGAATTGAAGGGTGGAAGAGGCTGGCGCTGTGCGTGTGTTTATATTTTTTATGGGTGCCTCACGTCCGTCGAGGGTTTGTACGAGTTCGTGCGGAAGCTGTCCTCGACGCGACTTTGGCGAATGTGGACCACTACAATCGCAACGCATTTGCTCCCCGTTCGTGTCTGTTCCACACGAAAGACATAGACCCCCCCCCACCCACTCCAGTGTAGCCTACGCAGACTGTTGGGGCAAGTGCAGTTCGCGAGCACCTATTAAGGTTGGCACTGCGGACGAAGGTCGCTGTGTATTGCATCTAGCACCGCGCCCGGCCGCCTTTGTCTCCGCAGTGCTGATGTTTCTCACACACACAGCATAAGCTTGTTTTTATTAAATTTCATTGAAATCACGGTTGCCGAGCTTAGGCTTAAACAGCCCAAAAAACGTCGAGCGGCCAGCAACCCACAGCACTATTGCAGGTGCTGTAGTCATGGATACTGGTTGGCAGGCGTCTTGAATTGAGCAAAGGTTTGTTATGCGACCCTTTGGAGGAGACACGACGGGATGGAATTTCAAAGTTGAGCGGCGCGAACGGAAGACACAGGCGGCGTGGTTGGACAGAGTGCGGTGGATGAGACGAAGCAGTCCGCTAGACGCGACTCCTCGACGTTTTGAGGAACATTCGAGTGAAAGTTCATTGGGAACTCCAGCCCTGGTCGTCGCGCTGACGAAGGCTGCGTTTCCTAGGGTGGGACGCGCGTTGCGTTTAGGTGCCACGTGCAATGATTGGCCGAACAACCTAGAAATGAGTTATCTGATTTGGTGCATCCAACATGGGCAGGGACTGGGGAGACAAAGGCGGCCGGGTAGCGGTTTTTCCAGCCACACCCCAAGCTCCCCACCACATTGGGCCATGTGAGCTTTAATAGGTGCTCGCTAACAGCGCTTGCCCGTCACGTGCTGTGTGGTCGTACAGGGGGATCCGTGTCTCATTCTACATGCACACGGTGTGAGGTTGTCACCCATCACCTTGACGACGTATCAATGTAAGTCCTCGCTTAACGCGTGGCGGGGTTCACACTACGACGCGGTTCTTCCATTCGGGAACACTTGTCGCACAACGCGTGACGTGCACCGTTATAACACGCAACGTGCACCGTTATAACACGAAACGTGTACCGTTATAACACGCAACGTGTACCGTTATAACACGCAACGTGCACCGTTATAACACGAAACGTGTACCGTTATAACACGCAACGTGTACCGTTATAACACGCAACGTATACCGTTATAACACGCAACGTGTACCGTTATAACACGCAACGTGTACCGTTATAACACGCAACGTGTACCGTTATAACACGAAACGTGCACCGTTATAACACGCAACGTGTACCGTTATAACACGCAACGTGCACCGTTATAACACGAAACGTGTACCGTTATAACACGCAACGTGTACCGTTATAACACGCAACGTGTACCGTTATAACACGAAACGTGCACCGTTATAACACGCAACGTGTACCGTTATAACACGAAACGTGCACCGTTATAACGCAGAACGCATACCGTTTCAACGCGCACCATTATAACGCGCACCGTTATAACGCTGTCTCTGAGCGGTCGACGACCAACTACTTTATTGAGCTGCGCGGCTGAGCAGTACAGCGATACAGGACGCGGAATGATACAGTAACGCAGTGGCGGTGCGTACCCTCCGTTATTTGTCCCGCCATCTCACTGTGTTGTGTGCGTAGTGGTAGTAGTAGTAGTACTAAACCTTTATCGTTACTACATTATTTATGGGGAAATGTTTTCGCTTAATGCGGCACTCTTTCAAGAAGGCATCTTCCACCGCGTTACATGAGGACTTACTGTGCACACATCGCCACCGTTCCGCGTCTAATCCGAATCGTCAATCGTCGCACGCAAGTCGATGCGTCACCACGCGTCGGGGCCTCCACCCATCTCTAACGGTGGCCCTGAACCAACGGTTGGAAATTCCACATTCCCATGACGGGCCGCGGATGGGGGTGCGGGGGCTGGGGGGGGGGGGGCTACACGTTCCAGATGAGACTATAATGGATCTCGTGTCACTGAATTTGCCCTTCAGTTATATGGGGGGGGGGGGGGTGGGGTGGGGGGCGGGTGGGGGGGGAGTGGGTGCGGGACGCAGAGCAAACCACACCGTGCGGGCCCCCCCAATGCCTTCAAAACTAAACCGGCACTATTACATCGGACACCGTGACGTCGAAGTGCCGGCCCCCCTCCCCCCCCCCCCCCAAAGCACGGGGCCCGGGGCGGTCGCCCCTTGGGACTCCTCTGGGCTCTATTAAGAACCCATTCCTCAATCCGCTCCCTGTATATCTGAAATCAGTGCGGCTGGACACGGGAATATCAGAGTCTGGCATGAGCCTTCCCCCCTTCCCTGGGTCGCTCTGATATCATAAAGTTAATAATTGGGTGGTTAGGTCAGGGCAGTGCGGGGAGCGGGTTAACAGCAGTCAGCGGTGGGGGGGGAGAGACAAAGGCGGCCGGCCAGGCGTCAACTTATTGACCGTCCGCCAAACATGCACCGCGGCAGCTTGAATAAAAGGCGCTCGCTAAGGGCGCGTTAGCGACACGAACGACGCGGTACACGGCTAGGATGGAAGGGCGGCCACAGGGCCGGGGCCGTCTGTGAATTCACGTCACCAATGACATCACTGTGACTCGCACGCTTCAAATCATGCTGATACCGATGTAGTAGATACAACACGAGCGATATTTATATATTGTCCCGTACGCAAAGGAGGAATTGGTTCCCTGTGGTAGAAATTCCACATGCCTATGACGGGGCACGGTAGAAGAGCAGCAGCAGCTGCTGGTGCTCGGCTTGTATCTTTTTTTTAAACGAAGACCGTTCGTTTTAATAATAATTGGCTGACGTTTGCAAAATTGACGACGCTCACAGACCACGGGGGGTGGGGGGGGGTCTTTAACGTCCCTCCTTGGTAGAGCCACCGGGCTGAGACGACGGGGCGGTCGAAAAAGTTATTGCGATGTTAAGCGACCAACGTTTCGCGCCCGGTCCGTGTTGTGTTCACACCTACCCCCCCCCCCCCCACATCCGTTAGCGCGCCTCCTTACAACCCTCGTCGACAGAATTCCATCGCATGTCATTTTAGCTAGAGACGTTTTGTTATTTAATATTAAAAGTATATATATGTACGCGTTTTACTTAGTAGTTATTTGTTTAATACAGCCCCACAATTATTATGGAACTCTGGATAAGAGTTACTGTCAGTCGCAGGCAGCAGCAGGAGCTTCCTTGCCACCAAGCAGCACGTGTGTGTGTGTCGTGTCGTGCGTGAGTGCAGAATTGCGGGGCTGCAATTCCTTGATAACTTTACATTCATTCATATGGCTCGGATGAATTTCTCCCCCAACCCACCAAACACCAACCAAAAAAAAACTAAACTACGTGGCAGCTGCTGCGTCGGGGGAGGGAGTTCAGTTTGTGACGTGGGGGTCAATGCGCGTCTCGACGCGTTGACGCATTCCATACGCGCCCGCCCAGGCGCGCGCGTGAATTTTCGTCGACGACACAGCGCGTGCGCTTGGCGGCGGGTAGGAGGTGTGCGAGTCCGCAAAAGGTGGACGTTGAAATCCCGCTCACCGAATGAACGGTGAACGATGCGCAACGTTTCAGGCCCCTTGTATATAATGGAAGGATCGGGCCTGCCTGCTGTAACGGGACATCATTAATCTCGCTCACGGAATTAATGATCAAATAATGTTAATGTTTGCGGGGGCCCATATATGGAGGGATTGGGCGTGGCTGTGCCTAAATAAATCAATAATAATCGTGATTCGGTTAATCGTTTTGGGGTCGTGGTGGGGGGGGGGGGGTGGTGTGGCAGGGTGGGTCTTCATCTAGCAGCGGATCAACATGTCCCCTCGCGGCTGGGCCAACTGAAACGCCGCGCTGGTGTTCAGTAGGCTCACGGGAGTCGGGGCCATTCGGCCTCACTCACTCACTCTCTCTGAGCGTGAGCGGTTATAACTGCAGAATTAGTCAAGTTGGACTACATTTATTTCGGAAGCATTTTGGCCGTAGACCAGTGTTATCGGACGAATGAGGAGTGTTGGGTCCCGGTGTCACTGCCGAAATATTTTTACTTGCTGTCAAAGTCAACCAGGGGTTTGGCAGCCGTATTTTATTAACACCAGTGGCCATTATAACGCCGATAAACGTCCCGCTAATTCACCAGCATTGGTTTAAAGCAAAGGCTGACGGATTGCACAAACGAGACACTGAATTTCGACGCCGCTCCAAAGTCTGCTCGTGTTTAACCGATGCTGCTGATCAAATGCCCTGGCGAGGAGAATGGCCCTGCCGCTTAACGGGAAGTGTGACACACGAATAAAACAATTGATGTTTTGTTTGTGCGTCACAAACACTTAGTTGGTGAGAGGCCAGAGCAGTATGCACGATAGACAAACATTACAAAAATCGTATATATTTATCTATTCCACCCTTTAAACAGGGTCACGCTGTGTCGCTGGCTAGCGAGTGTGCCGCTTGGCAAAGAGGGAGTCTCAACACCCATTTTCAAGAGGATCCTGACTTGGGATGGTTTGGCCAATTACAACTTTATTGTTGTTGTTGTTGTTGTCGAGTACGTTTGCTTGTGGGATGAACCAGAGTGCCCGGTGGAAACGTCAGTGTGTGTTTGTGTGTGTGCGCGCGCGTGTGCGGTTATATAGATTTAATACAGTAAAAAACATTTTCCCCATCACACCACTGACGACACATGTAGTGCTATAATCGCACACACCTCTCTAATAAATACTTCATGCAAAACAAAATAATAATAATAATACAGCCAAAGAAACGAGCGGATTGGGCGAACCAATCCGCCCCCCTCCCCCCACCCACCCACCCACCCCCCCAAAATAATTTCCCCTTCGCCGAAATAATCGCCCGCAGTTCCTTCCCAGCGATCCCCCGCATCATCCCCTCCCCACCCCACCCCGTCCCGTCCCGTCCCGGCCCGCATCTCCGTTCTCCACTGCTGGCTTGCCGAAAGTGGCAGCCTCAAGTCGGTTTCCGTGGCGACAGTGCAGTTAAGGCGTTGTGTCCATTTGCTCCATCTCCCCCCCGTCGGTGTTGGGGACGTAAGCCGCGGCCCGCAGAGCTCGCGAGCGCGTGTGTGCACGTGCACGCACGCACGCACGCACGTCACGCTCACCGACACCGTGTGCCTGCTACACGCGTCTTCCCGATCGTGTCAAAGGTCCGCTGATATTGTAATTCCCCCGTTGATATCAATGTCACACACACACACACAGCGTATATATGTGTGTGTGTGCCATATGCGATGATGATTCGCAGTGCACTGTTATCGATGGCATTTGCCCGAACGCGAGGGCTTCTCACTCTGCTGCCCTTGATTGATTGGTTGGTCGATGGGTTGATGATTGGCTGACTCGTCGCTCTGTCGATCGATCGATGGGGTCGATCGATTTAATTGGGCGGTGTCTTGTCCGATAGGCCCTTGAGCACGTCATCAATCCGCTCGTCCTCGATGACAACTGCGGAGAGGGGGACAGTGGAATGTGGGAGGAGGAGGGGGGGGGGGGGGGATGGGGAGGATGAGGAGGGGGGGGAGAAGGAGTTTGGGGGGAGGAAGAGAGTGGAGAAGGGGATGGGAGAATGAGGAGGGATGGGATGGAATGGGAGGAGGAAACGGAGGAGGAGGGAGCAGAAGGAGGGATGGAATGAAGAGGATGAGGGAGGGAGAGTCGAGAAGAGGAGGAGGGAGGAAAAGGAGATGGCAGGAGGAGGATGAAGAGAAGGGGGAGGAGGAAGGATAGGAGGGATGGGAGGAGGAGGGAGGGGGAGAAGGGGAAGGGGGGAGGAGATGGGGGAAGGGAGAGAGCATTGGTTAATTCAAACATTGGCCGATCTGCCCGTGTATGCAACCGTGTGCGGTTACACATCTATCACCGTCATCGATTCACGTCTCTTATTTACAAGACAGGGAAAACGCAGAGGTGGCCGGGTGGCTCAGAGGTCAGGGCCCAGAGACGGCACTGCTGGGATCCTGGGTTCCAACCCAGCTCTCGGTCGCCCGCGAGCAAACTGGCTTCTTGTGTGCGGTGAGTTGATAGCCTCAGCTCGGTCACCAACGCAATAACAACCATGACCCTCGATTGGTTTCTGTATTTAATTTGGATGAATTCCAACTTTGGCGATTAAAATGTCAGTTCAGACTGTCGAGCGATGAGCGTTACTCTCATGCGGCAGAATGGGTGGGAAAACGCCGTGCCCTCTGCAGTGTTGAGTAGGGGGCTCTCTTGATGGATCTAAGTCGTAGCTCTTTGAAATCCACTTCCGTGGGCCGTTGTCTTAAACACAGCAAGTCCCACCACTGTGCGAGACATCCGAACGGATTCTTCAGGTCATGACTTGATGGCGATGATATATTTATATATATTTAAACAGAGATTGGCAAAACCCACAAAATTGCAGTTATCTAATTGCACCTGGGTCCGTCTTGGGTCGGTGTACCGGAATAAATATCCCCTTGCCCGGCACACCACGTCCAGTATACCTATCGGTCAAGGCTTGTGGCTACCTCCTCAACTACTGGCAGTGAACTGGAAAAGGCAGCCAGTGAGCAATGAATCACGGGTGGAGGATTGGAACCCTAGGCCGCGTGCGTAACGGCCTGGCTCAAGCTTCGTTCAGGAGTAGAATTAAGTAATATTTAAAAACACATTTTTTTAAACACGCTTTAATGAAATGTACGAGTAATGGAAGAACTCCACGACTCCAGGAAGTGGCCCCGAAGCTTGCCGTAACGTAAGGGACCGTGGCCAATTACAGCCAACGTCAGTTTACCGTGGACAATTAGACCCAAGGCGAAACATAACATATAAAAAAGAATGTTGAAAAATATATATTTTTATGATATAATATAGTATTGTCATCAGTATGACATAAGTATACCAAGTTCGCAGTCGAAACCACATTGGGAAGTGGGTTAAAACTGAGTTACAAGATTTGAGGATACAACAACAACGACAACAACAACGAGAACAACAGACAACAGACGGAGTGACTTATATGAAAGCGTGTAAAAAAAGATTGTTTAAATTTACGATCGACCACAGCATTGTTGCACGTTCGTGACATCACTTGATATACATACAGCAATGCAATGACAATACAGATTGTATTTACACTGCATGTAAATGCCACTGCGTCTCAAGGTACTGATGTCAACAGAGATCTATGATGGAGTACGCGATGGTGAATTTAAAGTTTCTTTTATTTCTCTTCATAACGAACAAATAAGACTTGTTTTGGACAGGCCTAGACATTGACGCATTCGTCCACGTTGCTTTAACTGCCGTGAACGGGAACCCACGGTGTTCATGGGTACTCTTACCCATCACATCAGACAACCCATCAGAGTATGCTTTCATTGGCCACACCTTGCCGACGAACACCAAGAGTTCCGAGGACGCTACTGAACGGGAACAATGGATAGCCGGGGGAAGGGAACCATAAGAGGCCCTTTTGCCCATCGGTGGGAAGTTTTTGACTTGACAACAACCCTGCTGATGAGACTCAGAGAAGCTGAAACCGTTGCAGGGTTTCCGGCTTAGACAAATACCGCTGGAATCATTTATCCTGAAGTCCGACAGGCTGCTGGGCGCAGTGTTAAGTGTGTCCCATGGTCGTGCGTCCCAGCAGCAGCAGCAGCAGCCACCACCGTTATTCGTCGGCTAGCCACAGCCTTTCTCGAGCGATCTCGACCCCGACGACCTCGACCCCGACGACCTCGACCCTGACCCCGACGACCTGGACCCTGACCCCGACGACCTCGACCCAGCCTTTTACCTTCGATGGAAATCGGCGTCAAGGAGCCGGCGCAATTTCCCACGCGACGTCCCAACAAGACCCCCACCCCCCCCTCCCCTCCCATCATCTTCGCTCGCCGCTCTTCCTCAAGCCTTCTTCTCCCTCGACGCGAAGCTCTCAACGGAGGTTAATCTCTGTTCTCTCTCTCTCTCTCTGCCATCCACGCATCGCTGGGGTGCAAGCTGCTGCTGCTGCTACTGTTGCAGTGGAGTTGAATTTTTTGCCTAAATTGTTCCACGGTCATATTTTCTGGGTTAGATCGTGCACGTTTGTTGTCAGTTATAGATTCATTTAAATCTATAACCCTTCACTATTCAACACAGTGAAATAAGCTCAAGTTGTCACGTGGAGGGTGGGCGGACAAATATGTCGATGGCTTTGTTTTTATCAGGCCAAAACCGGGGGTTGGGATGCCGATAAGCGGGCAAAGAATCTCGACAATTTTTGTACGGTTCGTTTGGAGATTCCATCCAAGCGTCACCAGCTGTTAGCAAAAGAGCTCGGCTCTCTCGCGTCAAATTAAACTTCCCGATCATCAAACCAAAGATCACTTGGCGTCATCGTCCACGCGACAGTCGCGTTGATTTGGCTCTCGTCGGGTGGTGGAGGGTTCAGAGTTTAAACGCTGGGGTTGCCCCTTACGCGAAGATCTCACCTAAAATTATATGCTCGTGAATCATAGTGTTGGTCGCGAAAGGCTACGTGTAAAATGTCCGATTTGCAATGTTCATTCATGGTAAAGGGTTTTTTTCGGAAGGGGGGGGGGGTAAGATCGTGTGAATATAAAAACGCCGTTAAACCCGCCACCACCCGACACAGCCGATTAGTAAAGTTTGTCACGTAAACAAAACGTGCCAATTCGTTACTAGTACAGCACACCGATGCACGACGTTTCGCTGGTGCTTATAGCCAGCCTCATCAGGGGATTTTCCAGAATCGTGAAGAAGTCAAACCGCTTTCAACAATGTTTAATTTTTCTGTGCTGTATTCTCCTTTTTTCACACACCCCCCCCCCCCGCTCTCGTAGTCACCTTTGAGAAAACGAGCCTCTTAAGCTCAAGAGGCCCAATGAATAAAAAACAACAGCAGCAGCAACAACAAAACTCAGCTCAAACACCCAACAAGACAGGCATCCGTATAAAAACAGAGACTATGCAGGACAAGGTGGCGTACCCGACCCCCACGCACCCCGTTCCGATCGACGGCCCCACCATCCCGTGTCGATAAATTCGCGTGCACGCGTGCCACCGTTCCTTTATATTTGGCCCTACAGGGCCATATTCACGAATCCGACACTTTACACGTATCTGCCCGTCCGCCACCCAGCCAGAAAGTCAGCCAGCCGGATTATGCGACGTTTGTGAATTGCGCCGGAATTGAAAATGACGGCTCCGATGGAAGACTGCCAGTTAATTATCGCATTTTAAATTCATAAATAAGAGAGGGGGGGGGGTCGAGGGGCCGCGGGGCTTTAGTGGGGTGCGGGTGGGAAATTACATCCATAAACGGGGGCTGGAATTACAGTGGCGAATTCAGAGGCCAGCGTCTCCGCACCGAACAGAAACCTAATCCAATCCCATAGCCACAGCACCCCTCTAAGCTCATCCGATGACCCAATCTTTGGTCCCTCTGTCACTCGCGTGTCAACTGGTCGCCGTGCCCAGTGCTCGATCCGTCAAACGTGAACCCCTTTATTTCACCACCGATCTGTCTGCGTATTTCTCGCCCGAGTCTCGGCCCGTGGAGGGTGCTCGTGTGGCAATTTACAGACGGCGATCACGGGCAGGCACCATCCCAGCCCGGTTGAATAAAGCGCATCGTCAAATGTGAAATGGCTAAGGGCTCTTCCAACTTGGTTTCGATAATACATTGTCAAATATAAATATATATGAATAGAATGATCTACAGCCCCCTTGTTTATCCACTAATATTGGATGGAAGCCACTCCACGCAGCGCCCGCAGTGGCGTTGTTTTGACCATACTTCACCATGTTGGTTAATGAGGTTTGGTGAAGGGCGGTGGCGGTGGCGGGGGGAGGAGACTGATTAAGATTTGGTTACATAAGGGACACCACCCAAATGTGATTTCATATTTCATCAAAATATTTCACCTGGAAAATCCCCTGAGAAAGGAACATCTAGATTGCAAGGGTGACTTTGCTCGGTTAGTCCAACCCTTATGAAATAATGGATGTAAAGTATGAAATGCGTGTAGGCCAGTCTTAATCTGTTTATTTAAAGGACATCACATATGGGAACTGACTTGGCTGTTACATGGGCCTGGTTATATAAATCAAGGACGTGAACTGCCATATAACGCATTAAGCCTACAGTATTGATGTTCGCGATCGCATTACTGCAACCACATATTAAAATTTTAGGCTAAGCCGACCTAGGGGGGGAAGTCATTGCACATCACAGTTGTTTACTGATGATGATGATGTGGTGAGTCATGCTGTGAATGTGTCATGTTAAACGTATTCAAGCCGAGTGTAATTATTTCAATTTCCAGCCACAGCCAACATCAGTTAGCCGTGCATGTTAAGCACCAAGGCAAATATAAAGATTACCCGTATAGCCTTGAGCAGCCTGTCGGGGCAAGTGGTGTTAGCGAGCCCCGATGAAGACCAGCACGGCACACCCTTTGAGCGCGGGTGGAGGG